CACACACACACACACACACACACACACGGAGCAATCATCCAGAGACACATATCTCCATCTCCATTGGAAATAAGACAGCAGTTTGACCATTCCATCCTCCAGGGTGAAGACCTGATTAAAACTTGGCTCATATTAAAAGAGAACACATTCTGATGAGGCATCCTGCAGATTATAATCCACTCTTTGGTCCGGTCCACTCAAAAGGACGCTTTGTGGGAGCTGGCAGATGTGTAATGTACACCTGCACAATGATACCTAACCCCCCAGCAGTGAAACACTGAGGTAAATACACACTTAGGACAGCAGAGGGAAGTGAACGTATCGCGGGCCCATTATACGCACTATGACATGACTTGGTGGGCAGAAACCCAACACCACCGCTCTGGTGTCCATAGCGGCACACCTGACGAAACAACATCCATGCCACTAACAATGGGGGGAGAAGAAGCCATTCACAGCCATCCAGGAGACACTAAAGCATTTAATGGTACTTCATTTTATGTTTTAAAAATCCAACTTTGGGCCCGGCCAAAATGTGGGACAAAAGGCGGTGAGACAATGATGATGGCGGCTGGCTGCAGAGTGGAGTAGAATTACCTCAGAGAGGATGCAGGGGCTTATTCGCCAGTGATCTGATCACTCACCATCATAACTTTAATACATTCGTATTCGTCTGTGAAAATAGGACGTTAACCTTGAATAACTACTCTTTTAAACTACACACCACAAGTGTACATCAGTAATTCAGTAATTTAATTAGAAACCCAATTTTAAAAGCACAATGGCTTGTCCCCTCCTGGAATTTACACATGCACATACATCCCAAAATTAACTGCCCACACTAAGAGTCCTAAACCCCTGTCAGGGCAGAAACTCCCAGGACAGCGTATCTAAAAGACCCCGCTGCACCGGAACTCCTCGCTATAACACACTAATCCCTCCATAGATTATAGGTTTCGCTCCTTTTCTTCAGTTTATGTAATCGTCGCTTTTTTCATTAATCTAGCTCCAGCAGTTTCCCAGTTATCGGGTAAAAGTGATCTGAGTCGACCTGGTTTCCCTCAGCGCTGACAAACCTGTGCAGCACGTTGCACACGCCCAGGATGGGGGCGCAAACACTAAATACACTGTTTAGGGCTGCACATGCCTGCACGGACGGCATGACGGATTATTCGTGCCGCCCCAAAATCGGAGCCTGCGCAGCCATACTTCACCTCGGGGTTGGAATAAAAATGGGGGAAAGGAAACGAAGATCCAGAAAAATCTTTTTTCCCCTGTGATCGGCCACTATGCACCACGACACGTCAGACCCAGAAACACGCAGGAATGAGCAGCCCTCCGTACGCGGGTTGGTGTGCGTTTACACCGCGAACCCACATCTGAACGGCTTCTTCTGTGCGTGTATCTGATGAACCGAAACGCTGACATCATGCGTTATAAACTCAAACTGGACCGTTAAAGCTTGCACCCGTAATCATATTTTATAATAAATTTGCGTCGGCAAAACAAATGCAGTTTTTTTCCATCATGCTTGGACCTTATGGGTTTTTAATATTTTTAAACTTAATTAAAGCGCATCTAATGAATGTATTTCGGGAAATATGCGCAATAACTTCAACAAATCAACGATTTAATTTGCAGACGGTTTAATATGCAGTTTTAGTGTTCGAGTTTTGAAGCAGACTTGCATAATTTCAGGTAGTTAATCTAATGCTAAGGCGGCTCATGTCCAGTTTAGTACAGACTGCTTAATACACGTTTGATTTTCCTACACAGCCACGGGTCCATTTGGGTCCCCGGTGCGGTCCGGTCCGGGCCGCGATTGCTGTGTGGTCCCGGCCGTTTCGCCTTTTTGAGACGTACTGTAAACGCTGTTCTTCGGCTGGAGTGTAATATTTAACGGAGCGAGTAACTGCCAGGGAACACGTTTGACATAACACAGTTAATTGCCGCCAGCCTTGCTTAAGCTGAGCTACAGTTGGCAAGGGGGCTGATGGAATAGGGAGGGGGCTGATGTTATTTCTTCTCTCTTTCTTTTAAAATGAAACCCATGAGACCCCTTTGGGCGGCTTGTCTGCCTGCTGTGTGACCTCACTGCTGGGCTCAGCTGGGGTAGGGGGTGTGCCCCTCTGCCCCTGTGCTTCTGGGAAGGCGGCGAACCCAGTTCCCCTTTCATAGACCTTCACCATCCCCTGCCCTCAGACTGAAACCCCAGAGCTCTGGCGAGAGCTCAGAGAGAGCTGGGTCTCTCCCCGTGGGAGAGTTACGGGAAAAGACTGATGAAAAAGGCTGGTGTGCAAGCACAAACACAGCAGTGACAGTAGGGGCTGAGTTTGAGGCCCAGCTAAGCCAAATATGGCACCTTTCAATTTAATGGTCATACAATTAATATGCCTCACAGTACAAACAGCACCTTCACCATCTTGAGCACCATCTGCATGCAATAATTCAACAATTTTTAAAATCGCTACCTTGTAGCCAGTACACGATGTAATTATTAAATCCTACTCATAATGCATGTTACATCTGGCTAAAAAAACTGCTGTTATGAAAAGGTGCTTTCAAATTTAGAAAGTAAGTGGCAAACAAAGATACTGATTCATACTAACAAACCAACTTGGTTTCTCAGTTTAGTGACAGTCCCATTTTATTTTATTCATTCTTGGGGGACACGCAGGCACGGAATGGACACCTTCAGTTGGAAGTCCCAGATCTTACGCACGATCCCTGAATTCTAATGACCCTCATTATAAAGGCCCAAAATATTATTACAGCAGCCAGAACACTATGTTCATAAAACATTCTGCCAATAACACCTGTCTACTCTTGTAGATTTTAAGTCCTATATGCCTTATTTTGTAATATTTCTTAATAATACTCTATTTATAAACAATAAAGTCAGTTCATTGAGACAAGGCAAAGCCTTTGTCAAATCGCTGACCTCATGCTGTCGCGCTCCGTCTTCTCTCGCGCCGTCAGCCAGCGCGCCCTGATGACATCAGCGGCCCGGCCCGGCGTTGGGGAGACAGAGCGGCCTTTGTGCGGCGGTGGCCCGACTCGGGTGGCCTGACACGGGCCGGGCTGTGGGGGGACTCCGCTTCCTCATGGGCAGAAGTGTTCTGTCAACAGCCCGTGGATCACAGCTCATCTCTCCAGCGGCGCACACACACACATGCACACACACACATGCACACACACACATAAACGCACACAGGATACTCTCACCAGGCCTGTAAAAGCCCTCGTGTGCCCCCCTCTCCTCCTGCGAGGGCAAATAAAGCAGTAACAGGCCGACAGGGGCTAAGCAGAGGGGAGTAACACCATCGCCTGAGGGCCCCCACAGCTCCTGTATACCGCTGCCCCCCCCCCCCACCCCGCCAGATGGTAGATCCCAGGCCTGGTGAAGCAGACAGAGCGAGAGGCTCACAGAAGGTGCCAACCTCCCGTCATGGGTAAGCAGAGTGGACGTTTATGGGACGTCCCACACGCTGCCAGCTGAGGGACAGCAGTCAGGTCTCTGCTTTAAACATCGATGCTAAGCTAAAGGCCAATCAGACCGGCGCCATGTTGATGGACACATCCTGCCGGCTCTACCCTGCCCAGCCAATGGGGATGCAGCTTACTGGCCACCTCTGACAAGGGAAGCCTTACGCTCTGAAAAGGAACAGGCCTCTGAAAGATCAGTAAACCTGCCTTTCAGTGGGCTTTTACCGTAGAACAGCCATTTTTCATCTGCCTTCCAAAACCGCCACCTCCAATACCATTAATCAGATTAAATGTTGAGCACCCAGTGTTTTTTCATAGATGAAATGCACTGTGGGAAAACAAGCTGTCCATGTAAATAGATGCACATTTGGAGGAGCGGGGGGCTGCAGGAGAGCCACATTGCTGGCGGTTACCCAACCCCGACGCGGGACGTGCCCCGAGAGCATGCCGTCCTGCTGTAATTCTCCAGGCAGCTCTTCAGAAAATAAACACACCAATGGGGGGGGGGGGGGCAGCTTCAACCCGAGGACGGGGGCATTCCTGCCGATCAATGTTCTGTAGTGACGGGGAGGAGCAGCGGCCAGGCCGTACGTAATGACGCTTCCAGACAGCGGTTGGTCGGGGCAGGTGTCTGTGCAGGAGTAATGAGCTGGAACATACCACACAAGAAGGCATCACAAGATTCATTATCCGCTACATGTGCAACAATATTTGCTTTATGGATGGCTAAATGAATGAGGACATTCAGCATTACTGTACACCAGGGAATCAGAGAGGGACGGGCTACCGGCCGCCTGCGGGGGCAGCCATTTTCCATCGGCACTTAACCTCCCCGAGAAGCGTGTCCATCTTGAGCGCTTCTCCCCAATCATCCGGGTGCCCCTCGGTGCCGCCCTGGTGGCCTGCGGGTAACCCTCAAACCCATTCTTTTTTCAAATGGGTGAGCCATCTTGCCATGGCTCAGATGACGGGGTGAAGGGGAAGGGCGTGTGCGATCTACGGTCCAGGCGTGAACGCGGCAGGAACCTGCCACACCATAGCTGGCTGATGGCTAACACGGCTAAGCGCGTTTAGCCTCTGACTATGGGCCGCTCTTTTGCCCCCACTCACACTGCTAATTAGTGCCAGAAGTGCTGTATATGCCGACTAAGTGAGGAGCTGCAGCTGTGTCTATGCATGCTTATGGCCGGCAACACACAAGTATGCCATACCTTCACTGACCACATGGGGCGCCCGACATGGACCGAATATTTTATTTATGTTTTTTTTTTTTTTGCCAAACGGCTTGCCCCAAAACAAATAAAGCAATGAGTGCATAAAGGCCCCTGCCGTCACACACTGGAGAGAGAGTCGGGTGGCGGTTCCTCTGGCCACAGAGCGCGCGGCCGCTGCTGACGTGAGAGTCTCCCCTTTATAGCTGGATCAGCCCATCCCCTGGCCTCGCCTTTGTCCACCACATGTCTATTGTGGCCTTACTGTCCCCCCGAGGGCAATTAAAAGCTCCTAGTTTGTTATAAGAAGACCAAGCTATGAGGGGTCATGCCAGGGAAAACATTTCTGAGCAAGACCAAAAACAGAAGCACATTGAGCTCTCAAGGCTCCGGGATTATTAGCATCTCTGGATTAAGAAATGTGCAGGCGACACTGAGCAGACAGGAAGCATGGCAGATATACACGCTGGGGGGGGGGGGCATTTAAACCTCCTCTGTCAGTCCGGCCAAGTGGGCAAATTCCCCAGAACAATGCTGGTGGCAGAGACCCGCTATGAGAGCCCGGCAACATGAAAACAGCGTCTACGGTTTCAAGCGGGCCGAACCAAGGGTGACGGGGGAGTGCGCGGGACTGCCTGGGCTCCTCGCAGGCCGCAGGGACACCCCACGGGGTGGGGGGGGTTCCACGCAAAGTGCAGAAGGACGACTTTATCTGCGGTGGGAAACGCTTCCCCTGACAGCGAAGGCAGGCTCTGGGCCCTGAGTAATGGCCTGAGGTTAAGAGAACTGAACCCATTTAAGTCAGACCAAATAAGGGTCTGGGCAACCAGTGATGGATGCTTCAGGGACCCTGACAGGGGGGCTGGGTGTGTTGCTGTTTAAACTCAGAGGAGAACATGTCAATGGACACCCCCCCCCACCCACAAGGAAAGACATGTTCTACTTGTGGGGCGCAGCTGGCTTTCGGACGACCCGTTTGCGATGAGGCGATAACAGTGCGGCCCCCCAGTTTCGGCTCAGCATGGGTAACACCTCTGGGCCCAGGGAGCGTGACACCAGCCCGGGGGGGCCGCATCGCGAGAAACCTATAAACACGAGACCCACACAAGTGGACATAGATACTTCAGTATATTAAATATTCTTTCTGATTAGATTCTCGAAAAAAAAAAAATACCCAACAATCTCACAAAAAAACATTAAAATACAGCATATTTTAAGTAGAGTGTTCCTTAGTCACCTGACAGCATTCCAGAAGAGACTCAACAGCCATGACTTTTGGAAAAGAGTCTAGGAAAACCGCCTGTGAAATTAATGGCAGTGGTTCTGACAATTTCTAAGGCAGAAGGTTAGAGGGACGTCTGTGCCGTTATACATGTGATGGGATTTTCTTTTTTTTTTTTTTGCGACTAACATTGCAATTTTTATAAAGCAAAGATTTCAAAACACATTTCTCACAAACACTTCTATGAGTGATTTAAACAGCAAGAATGAATATGATTTATGATTGGCTCATGCAGAAATGACGCCTATGAGAAAGACCTCGGTGTGTATATTGATGCTTCCATGTCCCACTCTGACCAGTGTGGGGAAGCAATTAAAAAGGCCAATAGGATGTTGGGTTATATCTCTAGGTGTGTGGAGTTTAAGTCAAGGGAGGTGGTGCTACGATTAACTTAACAACTCTGAGCTATTAGTTAAGTTCTCCCCAAATGAGCTTGATGGGCCGAATGGCCTCCTCTCGTTTGTAAATTTCTTATGTTTTTAACCAGCGATGGTAAACATTTTTTAAAACATCTGCAGTATCGTGCAGCCCTAATGCACTGTGACATGCCGTGGTCAGAGTGGTCGCCATAGACACCATATAACAACCCCCCCCCCCCGGAGAGTCCGTTAAGAACAGCATGGCGGTACTGCACATGTCCTGCTCCAAGGTGAGCGTCTTAGTAACTGTTAAAGGACACTGTCCAAAACATACTATTCAATACACACAAAAGCCAGAGGAGCGTGGCAGAGAGTGAAGGGGGGGCCAGGTACCGATAAAGAGCTGCGCTGGGCCTGCAGGGAGGACACCAGGCAGAGCGGGTGGCAGGGAGGGGCAGAGCAGTAAAAATGCCAAATGTCTCATTTAGCTTGGTTACTTATGGTTAAGGTTAGGGCTGGGTAGGGTTAAGGTTGTCATGTTGGGATTAGAGTTTTCCCCATAGAAATAAATGGAGAGCCCCCACAAAGATATAATTACGAAACTGTGTGTGTGTGTGTGTGTCTGTGTGTGTGTGTGTGTGTGTGTTTAAAGCATTACAGAATCATTCTGGCCATGAGGGTGTTACACAGACATGTCTGTTGAAGTGAGACTGACAAAGGAGGTGATTTCCCCAGCATATCCCATCGTGCCTGTGATTATTTTACCAGTGGCCTGTATTTTAAGCACTGATATTGGATAGTGAGGGTCAGCTGTATAACTCACAGACATCAATCCTGCCTTACTTTTAATGACCACTCTGTGTGTGTTTTCAGTAAAACCTTGTACTGCTTTCCTCTCCCAATTGTTCTGGGAGGTGCCATTATTCAGCACAAGAGGCTGGGTGGTGGGGGGGGGGGCAGGGTTAGGCCAAGGGAGACACCAGCACCAGGTACCGCTATGGCGACGACCTGCGCGTGCCCAGGTTCCGAAACAGGCGCTCGCTTTGGCCCTTCGCTCTTACGGGAGATCAATAGGCAGGAGTACCAGGGAGAACAAGGCCTGCTGACATTTCACAAGCGGGGGGAGCACATGCTGGGGGGATTAGAGATTTCCCAAAATAATCGGAGAGCATTAATCAGGATGGTGTTTTTCTTATGCAGATACCACCCCCTCAGCTCGCTCCATGGGAAAGTATGGGGAGGGGGGCACCCCTTACGTGCCGGTCTGAGGACAGCCCCCGTTACAGCGGGACAGAGCCCTGGGAAATCCAGTCTGCCAAACTGCCAGGCCAGAACGAGGAAACCCGGACCCCGGACCCCAACCTCTGCGGCACTCCTCCACCTTCACCTGCAGCCAGAGGATGCACAACCGCCCCCCCCCACCCACAACACCTCTACCATATGCCCTGAAATGAGGAGCATCTCTCCAGCAACACAAGCAAACAAACAGGATACCATTTGACCACATGAATGTACGTTTATGCATGTGCCCGACATCAGGGCATGCAGTGAGACACACACACGCCCATCCACACACACACACACACACACACACACACACAGGGAGAGTGACGAGTGCCCAAAGACGCCACGGCAGCACAAAGGCATCAGTGTGTCAGGCTGAAGCTCAGTGCTCCCCTCTGCTTCCAGACCAATAAACCAGCAGGATCTGTGCTCCCATGAGCCCCCTGGAGCTGACAGAAAACAAGGCGGCCGCCGCCCCCCTCAGCCGCCCCATTCTTCTGGGGGAGCTTTAACGTGCTCTGGCGGCCTTCCTCACGGAAGGTTCCAGATGGCTCACTGTTCGGCCCCACATGAGGTGAGGAAGGCCGGGATGCCAGCAGGGTCACAGGGGGCGATCGCAAGCGACAGAGGTGCTGAGGACACCGGGGGGCACTGGGGTCATGACTCACTCTTATTGCCAACCAGAGCGACGACGGGCTGCACGTCGGAATCCTCGTTGACCTTCTTCACCATCCCCAGCCAGTCCTCCAGGTTCTCGAAGCTCTGGTAGTTTGTGATGTCATAGACCAGCAGGACACCCTGTCATGATGACAAACAATGTAAGACGAAAATACGACGACAAATATCAGACACGTGATGAGATAAAAACCGCAGGGATACGTGGGAGTTTATTCAAAGTCAGAGATCTGTGGAATTCAGTCCGTAGTCGTACGCTGCAAACCAGGGCTTGTGTGACTGGACAGTAGGTGGCACTGCTGTTCCAAAAGCCAGCTGGACCACCTCTGCGAGAGTGTGTGGCAGGACACAGCGATTACGGGCCGCCCTGAGCAGAAGCGGGGACAGACTGCCGGAGCCGGCCTGAGCTGTGCGAGTGGGACGCTCACTCCGCTTCTCAGCTATTCACAGATGCGGGAAAGGAGACTTATCTCCAAATGCCAGGGCTGAGCTCCCACTAAGATCGCCTCCGATTTGGCAGTGGGGGGGGTTCATTTCTCCCAGTCAGATTTTAGTCTCTGGGTACAGTCCCCCCCCCCCCTCAACAATACATTTATATATGGACATCTCCTCAAACAGTGCCGATGTCACAGATTACATTAGAGACATCATGCCCCCCCCCACCCCACCCCCCATGTCTGACACACGCACACAGGCTGTGTTAGCAGCTGCTTCGTAAACTTGGACGCTCCCACTGAGTCATGTTACACTAATATTAGTATTAAAGGTAATTAACCCCGCAGCCTAATGGAGATGCTAACAGATTGTGGGTGAGTGGCAGCAAAAATGTTGAGAATTCCCACAGAGAGGCCCAGAGGCCTGGGGGGGCCAGGGTGGGACCCCATCCGATACCACAGAGAGGCTGGGCTGGGACCAGGTCCACTACCAAAGAGAGACCAGGCCAGGCTGGGCTGTGTTAACTATCACGGAGAGACCGGGACCACATCTGCTTANATGGAAAAGCTGGGCTAGGACCACGTCTCCTACCATGGAGACTCCTGGTGGGGACCATGTCCACTACCACAGAGAGGCTGGGCCGGAACCGTGTCC